CGTTGCCACAGGTGAAGCTGCTGGACGGGGAGGGCGCGGTGCTGGCGAAGTGGACGACGGGCACGAAGGAGGCGGAAACGCACTGGACTCAGGAGGAGCACGTCTTCCGGAACTACCCACCCGGTGTCAGGTACTTTCACCGCACACGCACACGCGCCACCGCACACGCGTGCGCACACGCACGCAAGGTACAGTGCGGTGTTGGCTCAACTGGCCTCACGCTTCTCTTCCGCGAGGTGTAGAGCGGTGAGCTTCAAGACCAAGGGCAAGGACAGCAAGTTCTGGGCAGGCCACTACGGCGCGAGGATGACCGGCGCAGTGCTCGCCATCGCGTGGGCGTAGTGAACGCAGGAGCAGCTCGTCTTGTCTCGTCTCGTCTCGTTTAGATGTTAAAGGAGCTCGTCTTCATTTCGTCCATCCACTCCTTGTAGGCCCGGGCGAGGCTGCACCACTCTTCGACCTTGTTTGCGTGGTGTATACAGAGGTCAGCTGAAAGAACGAAAGAAAAAGAACGAAAGAAAAAGAACGAAAGAGAAAGAACGAAAGAAAAAGAACGAAAGAGAAGGCGGGTACGGTCAAGGCGTCTGGTCGCTTCGTGGGGTCCAGGCCAGCTCGCGCAATCAACGGCAGGGAGCCCTCCCCGAGCGTACTGACGCAATGATCGTGTGTCGTGTGTGTCGTGTGTGTCGTGTGTCGTGTGGTGGTAGGCCATTAGTTGAGCGCTGGTGCGTGGTGTGCCGTGGTGGTGGTGTCGCGTACGTGATGGCATTGGACAGCATCTTGCGCCGCTGCCCGAATACCTGGCGACACACCACCTCGAGCTCCTTCACCGGGGCCGGAGCCAGGGGGGTCACGCGCGGCTCGATCCTGACCATGGTGCCCGTCACCTTGGGCGGGGGCACGAACACCGACGCCGGCACGTTGAAGCAGGTCTGGGCCGTGCACGACTGCTGCGTCATCACCGACAGCCTGCCGTACTCGGACGTGCCCGAACGAGCCTCGATGCGCTGCCATAACATTATAATCATGAACGTTCGCACAAGTGTCGTGTGTCGTGTGTCGTGTGTCGTGTGTCGTGTGTCGTGTCGTCGTGTGTCGTGTCGTCCGCGAGTACCTTTCCCACTTCGAGCTGAAACATCAGCGTCATGCTGGCTCGGCCTGTTTGGGTCACGGACGACCACAAAATGAGAAAAAGAAGGCGCAGTGGAAGAAGAAATGAAGAAGAAAGAAGGTTACCGTGCGCGAACGGGCCTTCCCTCTCGGGTATCTGTCGCAGCCACTTGAGGAGCAGCTCCGTCGCCACGGCAAAGGGCAGGTTGCCCACAATGCGCACCGGGCTCTCTGTGGTTTGGGCACAAATATAAGTTTCGTGTGCGTGTGCGGTGGTGCGTGTGTCGTGTCGTGTCGTGTCATGCACCATCAGCCCAATTTTCGGCTTTGGGTTCGTTCTTGAGCAGGTCGCGTTCGTCGATCTTGAGCATGTCGCCGAAGACCAGCTCCAGCCTCCCGCCCGACGCCTGCTGCAGGGTCTCCAACGCCGGCATAAACCTGCACACACAATCGTTGCCCCGGTAAACCGCACGCACTGCACACGCCGCACACGCCGCACGCACCGCACACGCCGCACGCACAGGTGTGGACAGTACCGTTTGTCTTTTTCGACGACGATGACCTTGCGCGCGCCGTTGGTGAGCAGACTGCGCGTGAGACTGCCCGGGCCGGGTCCGACCTCAATGACGGTGCTGCCGCGCAGCGGCCCAGCTGCCCGCGCCAGCTTGTCTGCAGCAACGGCACATCAACACCGGA